TCCCGGCAGCGCTGAGTCAAACATTACACTAAAGTCGCAACTTAATTATGAGGTGTGTGCACAGAAATTGAAATAAAGTTAAAAGGCCTATGATTACCCGTGCTTTTTGACTAGATTCGATCACAATATACAGTAGTATTATGAGCGAAGTATTTTCTGTTCAGCTTTTAAAAACGTACTTCAATGTTTTAAAAATGTAAGTCATTTTATTCTTTAAATAAAATTTACATCAATTTCTAAAACATCACTAGATTATATTATCCAGGCTCAACTGCAATGATTGGAAATATTCAAATTACACAATAAAATGACCATGCGATTAAAATAACACACAGTTATTACCGATATCTGCCTTTTATCGGAAACAGATTTAAATGACTCGTTGATATTTCTTTTAGCACATCCACAGTTTCTATTTTATTTGATTTTCAACATGAACTTGGATGTATATGTAGTACCAACAGATCTGCCTATTAGATTTTAAGTTTCATAATATATTAATACATTTCAGACAGCCTCACAGTTTGATGTTGGGTTCACTGTATCTGATGGCGTTAACCGGGTCAGTGGTATACGATAATAATTGTAACGAACTTTGTTCTTCACAATGTATTTTGTTGTAAATAATAAAAAAAAGTTGTGATGACGATCATTAAACACATTTGCAGTGATCAGTGAATAAAAACCTGGGGTATAGTTAACTGATTTAATTTCTGAAAGTAGATCACCACTTTGAAATATTCATCACCCTTCAAAATTCTTCTTTTACGATCCGGACAAACGACTGGCGATCGTGCTGTTTATTAAACAATACTTTTCATTTTAAGCCATTTGACGACACTAGCCTTCATCCACATTCACAAAGCCAGAATCCACTTGCCAAGTATGTTTCGTTGTTGAATATTATGTTTTCTTATTGCAGCTATTCAGAACTGTCACTGTATATGTCGTCAACGTAAATGACAACGTACCTCTCTTCAACAAGCTTCGTTACATTGCAGATGTTCTGGAAGTAAGCATGATATTTAAATAGCTGTGCATCATCCATATTATCACATGCTATAGAAAAATCATATGAGTCAGCTAGTATAAGAAGATAAAACAGTGCAGTGTATTTGTAGTTATATGGAAAGCCATCTGTCTTAATTATCGTGCCATTTATGAAAAGGATGATCGTATGAGTATCGCAACTACCCAAAGCGTTTTAATAGGTTAATGTTGAAACATAGCGATACCTTTTTTCGTAGTAATATTTGTATGTTTGAATTGATATGTCTGAGCTTTGCATTCTGTTTTAGAGCACTCCAGTGGGGACCAAAATCCTCACAGTGGAAGCGACGGACCCAGATTATGGCCCACCAACATACTTTTTCTACTCAAAGGTATGAAAACCGCTTCAACTTCCCCTGTCGTTTATTTATAAGTGCATAGGTTAACTGTTTACATAACTCAGAACTTTTACCCAACGCATGAAAAAGAGGTCTTGAAAAGAAGGAACCATTGTATGCATGTCCGCAAAAGTCGAATGAACCATTAATTTACTTAAGTATTTGCTTTTCCGCGCCATCTAATATGACGACGAAAAAATGAGTGTCTTTTATTTTACTGATATTTTGGATTTATAATTGATCTTCACATTACTGCAGGGTCGAAGTTACTTTTTTGTGACAGGTTGGGCAACGGTTTGAGTTAAAACTGTTTGTTCCAAAGGTTTTTTTTTTTTTGTGTGTATATTTCTCCTTTACCCACCGTTTCAGGATTCAGATTCCATCTCACAGGACGTTAGTCACTTTAGAATGAATCAAACAACAGGGGATATCACACTTATAGCTCCGTTGGATTTTGAAAAGGATGCACAACACATTTTGATGGTTATGGCAAGGGTAATTATTTAATATTAGTATTTTGTATTAAAGAGTAGACATCTGAGGTACCTGTTTTTATCAAGGTAAATAGTTTTTGTTTAGCTGACCAAGGACCAATTAGTAATATTTTTAAATCTACGTAAGCTGGTTGGGGTGGGGGGGGGGTTAAAGGAAAATTGTGAATCTTACTCCGGCCTTGAATCCCGGCTAGGTTCTTTCATTGACGTATGAGTATATCATTGGTATTTGAGGTCTCCTAAAGAGATTGCAAACACTTGAAGAAACAGAGATTATTCAAATTTCGTTCTGAAAAACGCATGTAATTGTCAGCATTAATTATGATGGATAAAATAAGTAAAATCAGGTCATTGGTGGTTAAACAAAGAGGTAGAGTCAAAAGCAAATTTGTCCACTTGTCTATTTCTTATCATTAACCAATGTGTTTCAACGTTCTTTACAGGACCAATACGGCTGGAACGGCACATCAACGGTCTATGTAAGAGTTGGGGACGTGCCAGAGGAACCGCTTACTACATCACCTCAAGGTGAGACAAGGGAAATACGGTATAAAAGACCCATGTCATTATCTAAGGGAGTTAGATCGATCTAAATCTTTGGGAATGCACCCTTAGATTCTAGTCAATTCACATTTACTGTATACATTCCACGTGGAAGATCTATGCCACACTACATGTAGGTAGGCTCTTTAATTTGAGAATATACAAAGTGTCGATTCAAAGCATTTTGAGCTGCACCTGCAATATACAATGACCTTGACGTCATTCAACACAGTGACGTAGTACGATTTATGACTTCAGATTGCTATGATGTGTTCAAGACGGAAAATACCACACCTGGTGTATATACTGTGTATCCTATCTCTGACGTCACAAAGTCAAAAGCCCCAGCACCACTGATGGTAACTAATCATAAAAGTTTTACCTCTTAGGCGCTGTGTCCAAATTTATTTTGCTTTAAACACTGGACATGGTGAATTTAAGCTAACATGTACTTTGAATAATTTGATCAATGCAAGGCACATTAGGATTTTTTGTAATTTTGTAATTTACAGACAATTAAAATTTGCACAAGCAGGGCATGCAAAAAAGATTAAAAGTATAATTATTATATATCCATTTCAGGGTGAAATGTATGCAAAGATATTCTACATGTGGGAATCAATGAATATTTACAGTCATACGTGTATTATATGGTGATGTCTACATCTGTCAAAGATCTCTGGCCANTCAAGGCCACTGCACATTTAGATGCATGTAGACTTTAGGTTGCACATTTCCTTCTGCACTTTATTGAAAAATAAACTTTTTGGACCGACATCTTCTTCCCGACATTTTTTCTGGATCTTGCGCCCGCCTTGATCATTCATAACACACGCTGAACACGCTTTACGATACTTATCGATCACACGCGCAACACTATTGGGTAAAATAGGCATTGCGTCATGGGTCAATTTCTAAATATGGTAAATTGACCTTGCTATAATTAGATTGTAGAGTCTATGGCAAAGTCGCAGGTCGCGACACGATCAACCTTGACCTTGTTAATGTTTGTGAACTATAACTGAGAGAGTATGAGATCTATGAGGGGATATATTACGAAGACTTTTTCCTTTTGCATTTCATTTAGCATTTTACAAATTTTGTTTAGCATTTAAGGATTTTCATTCGCAAATTGCGAAAATGCGAGCGTCTAGGGCGAGCCTACTAGTTTGAATTATAATGAAGAGTTTCCATGTATTGATGCATATCACATGTGATGCGTAATGCGAAGCAACAAGCTGGCGGTGGTAACACGGGATATGTGTAACCTTCTACCTTTTTCTTGAAAGAGGTATATGTGTGCTGCAATGTATTATCTTATCTTGACACCCTTCTCAGCCACGTAACAGGTGACGGCATACCTCAGGCGTCTCATTCATGTAAAATAAACACTTGCACCTATACCCAGGACCGGCTAGGTGACGCTGCTGTGCCACAGGTATATAAATGAAAGATGATTCTTGAAGTCTCAACACGCATGACACAGTAATCATATTACACTTAGGAAGCGTATTTAGTAGCACTAAAATAAAAGATTCCAACTGAACGTAAAGTCTATTGTTTCAGTTGGATCACATAATATTCCGTGACAAATTTCTCTTTCAGGAGAATGCTTAGACCGCAGCAGATACCATGTTCTATCTTTTACACATTGCTCAATAAAATGATTCTATATTCATATACTAGCAAATTTGGATTTTGTTCTCAAAAGACGGATAAAGCAAAGGATTTGTGAAAACTGCCATGTTGCAAATGTGAAATACACGAATACACTAAATTCTACCATATTAGCAAGGGTATATAACGACAACAACAACAATAACAACATCAACAACAACAACAACAACAACAACAATAATAATAATAATAATAATAATATAAGAAATATCGATCACCATGTGTTAAATCCCACATAAGATACTAGTTCCAAGAGATAACCCACACAGGCCCCTGTAGATATCCCCTTCCTTCGCTATCTCTACCTTCCCACGTAATATTGGGGTCAATTCAAGCGGTGAGAAGCTAAGTGCAGTACTTGTATTTTAGCGTCCTGCCATCGTAAGAAGATGAACGTCCAATATTTTCTCATCCTACTGCTCTTTCATTACACTTCTCAAGGTATGTATGGCTTACAGATAGTTTGTGATTCCTGGCATCTGTAATGTGTCTATCATTCGATATTGATATGTGTTGGTTATTAGAAAAAATAACCCAAATTTGAAATTTGACCTTTAAAAGATAGAACAGGGAGCAATGCGGTGCAAAAAATCTTACTTATTATTGATTCTCAATGGATTGTGCTTTAATTCGATTATATGGGCATACATGTACTTCGTGGCATGAAAATGTATTTTTTATATTTATCAAGTATATATATCAAGTATATGTTGCCATAAATATTTGCTATTCATATTATTTCACATAATGTGTACATTCGTATAATATGTTCGTGTTGCAATAAACGAATGGGATTGTACATGTAAGAGGTAATCCATTGAATATAAGCTGTGGTATTTGTTAAAGATTACATGATTAAAGATTTCGCCTTAAAGGCACAGCGACCAAATATTTGGTGTCAATGTACAGTGGCTTTTGGTGTTGATAGCCAATGTGACGTACATTCAGGCTGTTCAATATCCCAATTTTCTGCAAAACATCCTTATCCCAGATCACATATGGGAATGTGATTGTTCCTGTAGAGGCACAGGCAAGATGACAATGCAATTCGGTCGAGAAAAACGAAATTTGAGGTATGAGCCAGAAAACGCCACTGGATGCACTGTCCAAAATGAACAAATAGCGAAAAGAAAGGGTGGGTAGGACAATGCAGGGTGTCGTTATTAAAATGCGTTTTGTGAAAGTAGGTGCCAATGTATCTTAATAAATTATTGCACTATTTCAGCCAATGGGAACAGCCCGCCTCAGTTCACAGCGCCATCTTTACTTGTGATTAAGGAAGATCGTCCGATAGGTAATGCAAGCAGATAATTCAATTTTCCGTGTTGAAAACAGCTATAAACTTATGATACTAGTACTTTTGGGGAAAACGTGTTTTACATGTATAGGCCTATCGTATCTCAACAGATGTTTGAATGTACATGTCCCATCATATTAACTGTCCGATTTGCCCATTTTTCCAAAAAGCAGCGTGTTTTATGCACTGTTTTCTTATGACATAACCATGTAAAAGAGTGGCAAATCAAAACCAATGATTCCTTTCTTGTGCAGGGTATGTTGTTGGAACACTCAGGGCTACCGACTCAGACAGAGACAGGCTTACTTTCAGTGTTTCAGCCAGTGGATATTCATTCAACCTCGTCCAGGTCTCTAACAACCCCGGCAGCGCTGAGGCAAACATCACGTTAAACTCTCAACTAAATTATGAGGTTAGTGCCCAGAAAATGAAATTAAGTTAAGAGGCCTTTGGTTACCAGTGCCTTTTAACTAAATTCGAACACAATATACTGTAGTATTATGAGCGAAGTATATGCTATTCAGTTTTTTTAACGTACTTCAATGTTTCAAAAATGTAAGTCATTTTATTTGAAAAATAAAATTTGCATCAATTTCTGAAACATTATGTTATCCAGGCTCAACTGCAATAATTGGAAATATTTGAATTACACAATAAAATGACATGCGATTAAAAAAACACACAGTTATTACCTGTATCTGTCTTTCACCAGAAACAGATTTAAATGACTCGTTGATATTTCTTTTAGCACATCCACAGTATCTATTTTATTTAATTTTCAACATGAACTTGGATGCATATGTTTATGTAGTACCAACAGATCTGCCAATAAGATTTTAAGTTTCACAATATATTGATACATTTCAGACAGTCACACAGTTTGATGTTGGGTTCACTGTATCTGATGGCGTTAATACGGTCAGTGGTATACGTTAATAATTGTAACGATCTTTGTTTTTCACAATGTATTTTGTTGTAAATAATAAAAACAGCTGTGATGACGATCATTAAACACATCTGCAGTGATCAGTGCATAAACACATGGGGTATAGTTAACTGATTTCTGAAAGTAGATCACCAGTTTGAAATATTCATCACCCTTCATAATTTTTCTTTTACGGATCAGGACAAACGACTGGCGATCGTGCTGTTTATTAAAAAATACTTTTCATTTTTAAGCCAGTTTTGTTGACGACACTAGCTTTCATTCACATTCACAAAGCCAGTATCCACTTTTTAAGTATGTTTTGTTGTTGAATACTATGTTTTCTTATTGCAGTTGACCAGAACTGTCACTGTATATATCGTCAACGTAAATGACAACGCACCCCTCTTCAGTACGGTTCGTTACATTGCAGATGTTCTGGAGGTAAGCATGATATTTAAATAGCTGTGCATCATACATATTATCACATGCTATAGAAAAATTATATGAGTCAGCTAGTATTAGGAAGAGAAGAACAATACAGTATATTTGTAGCTATATAGACAGCCATCTGTCATAATTATCGTGTCATTTATGAAAAGGGATGGTCCTTTGATTTTAGAGTACCCCAACTATTCAAAGCGTTTTAATGCGTTAATGTCATAACATAGCGATACTTTTTTTCGTAATGATATACATATGTTTGAATTGATATGTCAGAGCTCTGCATCCTGTTTTAGAGCACTCCAGTGGGGACCAAAATCCTCAGAGTGGAGGCGATGGACCCAGATTATGGCCCACCAACATACTGTTTCTACTCAAAGGTATGAAAACTGCTTCAACTTCCCCTGTCGTTTATTTATAAGTGCACAGGTTAACTGTTAACATAACTCAGAACATTTACCCCAACTGTCCCCCATGACATTCAAGATTACGCATGAAAAAAAGGTCTTCGAAAGAAGGAATCATTGTATGCATGTCCGCAAAAGTCGAATGAACCATTAATTTACTTAAGAATTCATTTTTCCGCGTCATCTAATTTGACGACGAAAAAAATGAGTGTTTCTTTTATTTTACTGATATTTTGGATTTATAATTTATCTTCATTTTTTTTTTTTTTTTTTTTTTTTTTTTTTTTGTGAGTGTGTGTATTTCTCCTTTACCCGTTTCAGGATTCAGATTCCATCTCACAGGACGTCAGTCACTTTAGAATGAATCAAACAACAGGGGATATCACACTTATAGCTCCGTTGGATTTTGAAAAGGATGCACAACACATTTTGATGGTTATGGCAAGGGTAATTATTTAATATTAGTATTTTGTATTAAAGAGTAGACATCTGAGGTACCTGTTTTTATCAAGGTAAATAGTTTTTGTTTAGCTGACCAAGGACCAATTAGTAATATTTTTAAATCTACGTAAGCTGGTTTGGGTGGGGGGGGGGTTAAAGGAAAATTGTGAATCTTACTCCGGCCTTGAATCCCGGCTAGGTTCTTTCATTGGCGTATGAGTATATCATTGGTATTTGAGGTCTCCTAAAGAGATTGCAAACACTTGAAGAAACAGAGATTATTCAAATTTCGTTCTAAAAAACACATGTAATTGTCAGCATTAATTATGATTGATAAAATAAGTAAAATCAGGTCAATGGTGGTTAAACAAAGAGGTAGAGTCAAAAGCAAATTTGTCCACTTGTCTATTTCTTATCATTAACCAATGTGTTTCAACGTTCTTTACAGGACCAATACGGCTGGAACGGCACATCAACGGTCTATGTAAGAGTTGGGGACGTGCCAGAGGTACCGCTTACTACATCACCTCAAGGTGAGACAAGGGAAATACGGTATAAAAGACCCATGTCATTATCTAAGGGAGTTAGATCGATCTAAATCTCTGGGAATGCACCCTTAGATTCTAGTCAATTCACATTTAATGTATACATTCCACGTGGAAGATCTATGCCACACTACATGTAGGTAGGCTCTTTAATTTGAGAATATACAAAGTGTCGATTCAAAGCATTTTGAGCTGTACCTGCAATATACAATGACCTTGACGTCATTCAACACAGTGACGTAGTACGATTTATGACTTCAGATTGCTATGATGTGTTCAAGACGGAAAATACCACACCTGGTGTATATACTGTGTATCCTATCTCTGACGTCACAAAGTCAAAAGCCCCAGCACCACTGATGGTAACTAATCATAAAAGTTTTACCTCTAAGGCGCTGTGTCCAAATTTATTTTGCTTTAAACACTGGACATGGTGAATTTAAGCTAACATGTACTTTGAATAATTTGATCAATGCAAGGCACATTAGGATTTTTTGTAATTTTGTAATTTACAGACAATTAAAATTTGCACAAGCAGGGCATGCAAAAAAGATTAAAAGTATAATTATTATATATCCATTTCAGGGTGAAATGTATGCAAAGATATTCTACATGTGGGAATCAATGAATATTTACAGTCATACGTGTATTATATGGTGATGTCTACATCTGTCAAAGATCTCTGGTCNTCAAATTCAACATTTTGTAACCACTAGCAAAGAATGACAGGTAGATACATGTATTTGTTTTTCAGCATCATCGTATTTGGCAACGAAATAATGAGTGTTTCTTAAATTTAATCTATACTTTTAATTCATTATTGATCTGCTTATTACCGTGCAAGTTCGATGTTACTTTCTAATAATGAGCTGGGCCATTAGTGCTTTCATCCTGAGGTTTGCTGAAGAAGGTTGGGTTTAAACCTTTTGTCTTCTAGTAGATTTACCTCCCAAAAGCTAGTTTTGTGTGCATATTTCTTCTTTACCCGTTTCAGGATTTAGATTCCATCTCGCAGACCGTCAGTAACTTTAGGATTGATCAAACAACAGGGAATATCACACTTATAGCTCCGTTGGATTTTGAAAAGGATGCACAACACAGTTTGATGGTTATGGCAAGGGTAAATATTCAATATACTCTGTGTTGAAGGTCAGTTTTCTGGGGCGTTTATTTATCATTAAAGAAATAATGTTTAAAATATTTAAAGTCGCATAAGCGGGTAGGGGAGAGGGGGGGGGGCAAAACAAAATTGTGAATCTTACTCCGACTTTGAAACCTGACTAGGTTCCTTCATGGACGTTGGAAAACATCATTGGTATTTGAGGTCTCCTCGAGAGCTTGCAAAGATTTCTACAAACAGGGATCGTTCAAAGCTTGAATTAAATTCTCATGTGATTATTGCGAGTATTAAATGATTGATAAGTGTTAAGTTGTCATTGATCGTTAAGGAAAGGGAAAATCGAAATCAAATTTGCTCACTTGTCTATTTCTTATCCTTAAACAATGTGTGTCAACGTTCTTCACAGGACCAATACGGTTGGAACAGCACAGCAACGGTCTACGTAAGAGTAGGGGACGTGCCAGAGGAACCGCTCACTACATCACCTCAAGGTGAGACAAGGGAAATACAGTATAAAAGACCCTTGTCATTATTTTAAAATATAAGAAAATATGAAACATTTGACTATATTTTCACTCTCTTGCCAGCGCAGATAGAAGGGTAGAAAATGGACCAAACTATGTGCCGAAAAATGTTTGTTTAGTATTCTGCTAATTAGTCCGTGTTGATTTTATCTGTGCAGCCAGCGCCTGAACCAGTTTCATATTTTATTTATTTATTTATTTATTTATTGTGCATATGATTCCTCCATTTGCAAATGCATTTGTATAAGAATCTAGCTGATTCACATTTACCGTGTGCATTCCACCCGGAAGATTTATGTCACAATAGGTGGGCATCTTCATTTCAGAGGGTCTATTCAAAGCTTTTCGTGCTGCACTCACAATATATACAATGACAATGCCGTCATACAACACAGTGACGTAGTACGATTTATGACTTCAGATTGCTATGATGTGTTCAAGGCGGGTAAAACCACTCCTGGTGTATATACTTTGTATCCTAGCTCTGACGTCACAAAGTCAAAACCCCCAGCACCATTGATGGTTTACTGTGAGGACGGGTGGACTTATCTTCAGCGGAGATCGGGCTACAGAAACCATTACCCTGTCAACTTCGATAGAGGTGGGGATAAGGAACTAATCATAAACGTTTTACCTCTAAGGCGCTGTGTCCAAATTTATTTTGCTTTAAACACTGGACATGGTGAATATCACAGATCTATGCTAATGATGAAGTAAGCTAACATGTACTTTGAATAATTTGGTCAATGCAAGGCACATTAGGATTTTTTTGTAATTTCCTAATTTACAGACAATTAAAATTTGCACAAGCAGGGCATGCAAAAAAGATTATAAAATAAAAAAGAGTATAATTATTATATATCCATTTCAGGGCGAAATGTATGCAAAGATATTCTACATGTGGGAATCAATGAATATTTACAGTCATACGTGTATTATATGGTGATGTCTACATCTGTCAAAGATCTCTGGCCATTCTTTTCGTCAATTTTTGAAAGTGTGGAGAAAAGAAAATTGGTTTTATTCTCGTAAATTGCAATAACAAATCTTATTCGTTTAAGTAAATTTGCTTATTTATTCATTTATTCACTCCAGATTGGAATGACTATAAAGATGGCTTTGGCAATCTTCGTGGTAATTTCTGGCTTGGAAATGAGAACATCCACTCTCTGACGAAAAACAAAGCATACAAACTAATGGTTCAGGTTGAAACTTTGTAAGTGTTATTGTATAGTTTGGGGGTATTACGTTGGTGCATCGGGTAATATATTTAGTAACTTTTGTTCTATAACAGGCCTTTCTATCATTTATATTAGGTTCTTTCTGTTTTATCAGTAGATGCTGGTAAGCTAATAATAGTGCCATTCTTTAAAACAATCTTACAGTTACAGGAAAAACTATGCATTTCTAACTTGTAATCCTTTTTTTGTTTTTAGGAATGACAAAAAGAACTACGTCGCAGAGTACGAAGCATTTAACATCGATGACGAAGCCAGTCTTTATACTGTACATGTCTCCGGGTACTCAGGCAATGCAGGGGACGGACTCGGAACTCACAACGGCCTTCCTTTCAGCACCAAGGATAAAGACAACGACAAAAGTTTCGGTTTTTGTGGCGACATCTATGGTGGATGGTGGTATCACGACTGTCGTCTGGCAGATCTGAACGGTTGGATGGAATGGTTCACCGGAAACAAATGGCTTTTCTTGGATCGCACCGTGATGAAAATTAAACCTGCTTCTGTAAATAAGATGCTTTGGTGAAAATGCGTTGATTTTGACGGTGAATAAAGGAAAATATGTGAACGTTGTTAAGTTTCAAAATATAACATGGTCCCTTTTTATTCTGAATACAATCTTAAGGCCACTGCACGACCATCGGCACATATAGACAGTTTGGGCACTAATGAAGAGTTTCCATGTATCTATTGATGTATGTCACATGTAATGCGTACTTGTATAAAGCAGCGACGTGAAGCAGCACGCTGGCTGTGGTTATACAGTTTATTTATAATCTTCTATTTATTTATCAGAAGTTTTTCTCGGAAGAAGTCTAGGTGCGCTGCAATGTATAATCTTATCTTGACACCTCTCTCTGTCACCGTGACAGGTGATGGCACACCTCAGGTACATCAATCATGTAATATAAACATTTGCATAACAGGGCAGTTATATCACCCTAAGGAAGTGTATTCAAAAGCACTAAAACAAAAGGTTCCAACTGTACATTAATTCTATTATTTCAGTAGGATCACATCAAGAAAAACACGCCTTTTGACACATTCCTCTTTCAGGGAAAGACCCTTATATTCAGTCTTAGACTGCAGCAGATACCATAATCCATCTGTTACTCATCGCTCAATAAAATAATTTCAAATCCACGTTCTAACAAATTTGGATTTTGTTCACAAAGGACGGGCAAAGCAAAGGATTTGTGAAAAGTGTAAAGTTGCAAATGTGAAATACATTTGTATACGAATACACTAAATTCCAATTTGTTGTCAAGGGTGTATAGGCCCCTATAATGAGTAAGAAGTCACAACAACAACAATAACAACATCAACAACAACATCAACAACAACAAAAACAATAATAATAATTATATAAGTAATGTCGAGCGCCATGTGTTAAATCCCACATGAAATAATAGTTCCTAGAGATAACCCACATAGACATCAGTAGATAACCCCTTCCTTCTCTATCTCAACCTGTTGCGGGTGTCAGTCAATTTTATTCAATTGTCAACGATATNCCCGCGGCGACGCTGTGGCAAACATTACGCTAAAGTCGAAACTTAATTATGAGGTAAGTGCCCAGAAAATGAAATTACGTTAAGAGGCCTATGATTACTCGTGATTTTTGACTAAATTCGAACACAATTAACTGTAGTATTATGAGCGAAGTATTTTCTCTAAAGCTTTTTAAAACGTACTTCTAAAATATCACTAAATTATGTTATCCAGGCTCAACTGAAATAATTTGAAATATTGAAAATACACAAAATGATCATGCGACTTAAATAACACACAGTTATTACCTGTATCTGCCTTTTATCGGAAACAGATTTAAATGACTCGTTGATATTTTCCTTAGCACATCCACAGTATTTATATTATTCCATTTCGACATGAACTTGGATGCACAATGTATATGTAGTATTAAGATACACTACAGTATCTGCCAAAAAACAATGACTGCCTATAACTTTCACAATATATTGATACATTTCAGACGGTCACACAGTTTGCTGTTGGGTTCACTGTATCTGATGGCGTTAACCGGGTCAGTGGTATACGTTGATGATTGTAACGACCTTTGTTTTTTCACAATGTATTTTGTTGTAAATAAAAAAACAGCTATGATGACGATCATTAAACAACTTTGCAGCGATCAGTGTATAAACACATGGGGTATAATTGACTGATTTCTGAAAGTAAAGTAGATCACCAATTTTAAATATTCATCACCCTTCATAATTTTTCTTTTAAGGATCCGAACAAACGACTGGCGATCGAGCTGTTTATCGTTTTGTTGACAACACTGTCTTTCATTCACATTCACAAAGCCAGTATCGTATCCAATGGCCAAGTATGTTTTTTGTTATCTTATTGCAGTTAACCAGAACTGTCAGTGTATATGTCGTCAACGTAAACGACAACGCACCTCTCTTCAGTAAGGCTCGTTACATTGCAGATGTTCTGGAGGTAAGCATGGCATCAAAATATCTGTACACTTTACATATTACCACATGCTATAGAAAAGGTATCTGAGTCAGGTAGTATAAGGAAGAGAAAACAATACAGTACATCTGTAGCTATATAGACAGCCATCTGTCATAATTATCGTGCCATTTATGAAAAGGATGGTCGTATGATTTTAGAGCACCCCATTCAACCAAAGTGCCAAATATTATGTTTTTATACCTTTATGTTACAATATAGCGATACATTTCCCCTAATAATATTTCATGTGTGAATTGATACATCAGGTCTTTGTATTCTGTTTTAGAGCACTCCAGTGGGGACCCAAATCCTCACAGTGGAAGCGACGGACCTAGATTATGGCCCACCAACATACTATTTCTACTCAAAGGTAAAACATTGTTCCACCATCTTTTGTCTTTTATCTATTACCACACCGGCCAACTGTGAACACAGCTAGGAAATCCTCTACTCCACCTCTTCTCTCGGGACATTCGACATTATCCAAGAAAACGAGGACTCTGGCATGAGGGATTATTGCATACTTGTCAAAAGATATCGAATAAACCGTTTACAAAGCTACATGTATTAGTATTTCAACATCATCCTATAATAAGTGTCTCTTTAATTTTATTTATACTTAAACTTTATTATTGATCTACTTTTTACCGTGCAAGGTCGATTTTACTTTTTAATAATAGGCTGGGCCATTAGTGCCATTCAGCCCGAGTTTTGCTGAAGTTTGGATTAAAACCTTTTGGCCTGTTGTAGATTTACCTCCCTAAAGCAGGTTTTGCATATTTCTTCTTTGCTCGTTTCAGGATTCAGGTTCCATTTCGCAGAACGTCGGTAACTTTAGGATTGATCAAACAACAGGGAATATTACACTTACAGCTCCGTTGGATTTTGAAACGAATGCACAACACACTTTGAATGTTATGGCTAGGGTAATGATTTAATATTAATGCTTTGCGTTGAAGGGAGGTCATCTGGAGCTCTTGTTTATCATTAAAGATAAAGAGTCTTTTGTTAAGCTATATCTGGCTCAATGATTGGCTATATTCTATGGCAGGCAGTGACCCAAAAGCCATATTCAAAATATTTAAATATTTAAAAGTCACTTAAGCTGATAGGGGTGGGGTGCAAACAATTTGTGAATCTTACTATTACTTGTGAACCTCAGATTCTTTCTTTAAAGTTGGAAAAGATCATTGGTATTTGAGATCTCCTTAAGAGATTACAAACACGTCTAGAAACGGAATCTAGAATCGTTCAAAATATGAAATAAAAATTACATGTGATTATGATTATGACTGATAAATATAAAGTTGTCGTTGATCGTTGAGCTTTGCGCAGTGGCGGTACCATGGACAATGAGGCTTATCCCAGGTGTGGTTATTACTAGTTGAAGCTATACCCAATACTGAAGACGTGAAATCGTTAAAGAAAGGGGTAATCAAAATCAAATTTGCTCACTTGTCTTTTTCTTTTCCTTAAACAATGTGTCTCAACGTTCTTCACAGGACCAATACGGTTTTAACAGCACAGCAACGGTCTATGTAAGAGTTGTGGACGTGCCAGAAGAACCACTCACGACATTACCTCAAGGTGAGACATTGGAATGACGGTATAAAACACCTGTGTTATTCCTTTTAAAAATATATGTAACATGAAACATTTGATCATATTGTCACTTTTTGCAAGTGCAGACAGAAAGGAAAAAATGAATCAAATCATGTGCCGAAATATGATTGCTAGTATTTTTGTCAATTGTTGATTTTAGCTGTTGAGCCATAAACATTTTCATATCTTATTTATTTATTTATTTATTTATTTATTTACTACTTTATTTATTTTTTTATTTTGCATACGATTTATCCATTTGCAAATGCATTCGTTTTAGATTCTAGTCAATTCATATTTACCGTATACATTCCACGCGGAAGATCTACGTCACACTATATGTAGCTAGGCTCTTTAATTTGAGAATATATAAAGGGTCAATCCAAAGCATTTCGTCCTGCACTTGCAATATGCAATGACCGTGACGTCATACAACACAGTAACGTAATACGATTTATGACTTCAGATTGCTATGATGTGTCCAAGGCTGGTAACACCACACCTGGTGTATATACTGTGTATCCTGGCTCTGACGTCACAAAGTCAAAACCCCCAGCACCACTGATGGTTTACTGTGAGGACGGATGGACTTATCTTCAGCGGAGATCTGGCTACAGAAACCATTACCCAGTCAACTTCGATAGAGGTAGGGATAAGATACCAATCAGTTCAGTTTTGTCTGTGTCGAATTTTTTTCCGTATACATTGAACATGGTGACTTCCAAAGTGCAATGCTAGTGTGGCACTAAACTTGGAATAATTTGGTCAATACAAGACACATTAGGATTTCTTTGCAATTTCATAATTTACAGAAAGGTAAAACTGGCATTGGTTGGACATTACGGAACAGTGTAAAAGTATCATTATTATTATACCATTTCACGGCTAAATACTTGCAAAAACACTCTACCTGTGAGAATCAGTGCATATTTAGAGTAATTGACTTATATTGTGATGCCTTCATCTGTTAAAGATCTCTAAGCATTCTTTTCGTTATTATTTTGAAAGTGTGGATCAAAGAAACTTGGTATTATTCTTGTACATTGCAATAATGATTATCACTCGTTTAAGTAAATTTGCTTCTTGAATCTATGAATCTGTTAATTCATTTATTCACTCCAGATTGGAATGACTATAAAGATGGCTTTGGCGATCTTCGTGGTAATTTCTGGCTTGGAAATGAGAACATCCACTCTCTGACGAAGAACAAAGCATACAAACTGATGGTTCAGGTTGAAACATTGTAAGTGTTATTGTATTGTTTGGGGGTACTTACGTTGGTGAATCGGGTAATATATTTAGTAACTTTTGTTCTATTAGAGGCCTTTCTATCATTTATATTAGGTCCTTTCTGTTTTATCAGTAGATGCTGGTAAGCTAATAATAGTGTCATTCATTAAAACAATCTTACAACCACGGGAAAAATTATGCTTCTAACTTGTAGTACCTTTTTGTTGTTAGGAATGACAAAAAGAATTATGTCGCAGAGTACGAAGCATTCAATATCGATGACGAAGCCAGTCTTTATACTCTACATGTCTCCGGGTACTCAGGCAACGCAGGGGACGGACTCGGAACCCACAACGGCCTTCCTTTCAGCACCAAGGATAAAGACAACGACAAAAGTTTCGGCTTTTGTGGCGACATCTATGGTGGATGGTGGTATCACGACTGTCGTCTGGCGGATCTAAACGGTTGGATGGAATGGTTCACCGGAAACAAATGGCTTTTCTTGGATCGCACCGTGATGAAAATTAATCCTGCTTCTGTTAATTAGATGCTTTGATAACAATGCGTTGATTTTAACGGTGAATAAAGGGGAAGATGTGAACGTTGCTAAATTACAAAATATAGCATGGTTTCTTTTTTATTCTGAATACAATCTTAAGCCACTTCACGGACATCGACATATTTAAATAGTTTGGGCACTGATGAAGAGTTTCCATGTATTGATGTATATAACATGGAACACATGTGCTCCTTTTGTTGCTCTTTTTATTCGCTTTATTACCTTGTGCTAGTAAGACTGTACACCCACACCCTCCTACCCACCCACCCCTACTTAACACAATGTGCATATCGAGGTGTTGAAAGCCATCAGAGCTATATTGAAGGGATTACCGAAATAAATGCTTTACTGAGCCAATTATAAACGGAAGCTGAAATAAAATTTATGATTACAGATTATGGCTGTTTGACAGCGGTAATTAGACTGTCTTTAGAAGTTTATTAGTATACAAATATTGACTGTTTTTGCCATATCATAATGTTTTCTCTTTGTCACGGGGGAAGTAAAGATCAAATCTTTGTCTGAAGTCGAAAGGGGTTTCTGATTCAGTCAAAAAGAATGATAATTCAAAACACCGACATGATGGGTTCACGTTTTACTGCTCGAATTTTACTTGAAATTTTTAATAATCCTTATAATAAACTAAGATCTCCGTTTATTAGATCTTAGTAATAAATTAAGAGAAGTTATTTTATTTATCATTATTATTATTATTATTATTACTATAATTTAATTCTAATCATATTTTGACTTTTCGAGCATTATTGGATTGACACTGTTTCCACGAGAAGCTCACATACCGAGCTGGCCGGTATAGGCTACATTAAATTATGCTGGCCTCGTAGATCCTCCACTATGCAGTAACCTTGCCTTTCTATCTCCTCTACCGCAATAGAACCCATGTCAACAGAATGGAGCTTCATTTTGTCGTTTTGCGCAGGTGCCGAGGGCAAAAGATTAGCGGAAAACATATAATTCATAAATAGGGTTAGAGTTTTCACTGCTGTAACGATGCCTATTTATACACTATTGCCAAAAAACTCATTTTAACCGAGCATCCAAACTATTGTGTCCAAGCTTTTTTTTCCAAACTAATGAAATCCATTTACTAACACATTTCGTCATTCCCAGTTTTCGCGCGTGATCATGAATCACGACTTTTAAGAAACAATTAAGTTAAAATGATTCTACCATCGGGTCTGTAGGCTGAGGAAAAAGCCCGTGGGAGCAACTGATGATGATCTGCAACAGCAACAAGACTTGTTATTTGTGTCTCCTGCGGAACTCATCTAGACGCTTACAGAAGGAAAAGACCTCTGATAAAAGGAGAGAGAGGAAAAGGATAACACTTGAAAAGTGCCATAAACATGTCTGTTTTCATGAATAACTGGGAGGCGCCCCCCCCCCCCC